GTCCTGAGCAGCCTGAGTGTGAACCCTGGTAGTCAGGAACCTTTAAAACCATGTGATGGTCTGTGCCCTCGCCTGAGTCTAATTCCTGCACAGATTTTAACAGAAGTGTTTTCTTTCATTCTCTAAAATAATGTCTGATATTAGTTTTCAGTTTGTTTATACCGGAGCCAGTCTTAGAGATTTGTAAAAGGTTATTTAATCTAATTACCTTTCAATTTAAAAAATAAAATACTGTAACATTTACGCAAATATGGGTTTGCAAGAAAAACACTTTTGGCCTTTCACAAAACTCTTCACACAGGAGCTTTCATTTGTTTTAAAATAACAAAACTCTTTATTTCAATTCATCTTTAACCACATTTTTACCTATTTTTTCAGACTGCAGAAACAAAATAGCATCATAAAAAACACAAACATTTTTCAGTGCAATAAATTAAGAGCGGATCAAATAAATTGTGTTATCAATTAATGATGATAAACTATCTGTTTTAATTCCTAAATTAGAGACAAAACATTAAAAAAACTCATGAATGACTAAAATAAATGACAAAAGGAGAAATTTATCATTATCTAAAAGAGAGAAACACTTGGAGTTTGTTTTTGCTTCAAAACAACATAATTTTGCTGTTTATGAAACTAATGTAAGCTTTTTATAAACAGACTTTAAATAAATTCCTTCTTTACTTTTAGATGGACTGAATACAAATATTAACTGTGTGAAGAGGAATTTTAATATGAGCAATTATTTAACTATGTTTCAGTTTCTGTCAAAARATCTCCCATGATCCTCAGTTGTCCCAAACAGCAGATCTTTAGTTTAGTTTAGTTATTTAACAGAGACAATGTGCAAAAAAAAAAAAAAAACATTAATAAAAGATGCATTAGGTTTAGCCTCTGTAAGAAATAGTTTGTGTTTGTTGCTTAGATCTACCTATAACTAAGCCCAGTTTCACTACAACCATAAACACAATGAAAATGACAGTAATGACCTGCTTGTCTCTTGCATTGTAGAGTTTAGTAATCAAGCATTAACAAAGTTTATAAAAAATAAATCCAGTGTAAAAATCAGCGTCCACATCCTGGAGGTTCTTATTTAATCTGTCATTTTTACTGTGTTATTGTACCTGAAAGATAACTGTGTGTACAGTGTTGCATCTTTGACCTTTCTGTATGAAAATCCTAAAAAATTAACGACAGGAGCGAGTCATAAGCTTCGTTACAGCACTAGTCTATACCTGAAGAGGAGGATGTGCAACAAGCAGTTGTTTTGTTTTTAGCCGAAGATCACAATAAGTGAAGCGGTTAGAGCAGCTGCTCCTGGTCGTCTCCGTCACTCCAGCTGTCAGAGCAGTCCGTCCCGAAGTACCGGTCCCCGAAGTCCCCTGAGGAAACACAGGAGTGGACTCAGAGTCAGGAATCCATCAACAAAATCTGACACCTGAACATAAACACAATTACTTTTCTGTTTATTTGATGAAATTTGTTGCAGTAGTTGTACATACAGGTCCTTCTCAAAAATTAGCATATTGTGATAAAGTTCATTATTTTCTGTAATGTACTGATAAATATTAAACTTCCATATGTTTTAGATTCATTGCACACCAACTGAAGTAGTTCAAGCCTTTTACTGTTTTAATATTGACGATTTTGGCAAAAAAGTAAAGAAAAACCAAAAATCCCTATCTCAAAAAATTAGCATATTTCATCCGACCAATAAAAGAAAAGTGTTTTTAATACAAAAAAAAGTCAACCTTCAAATAATTATGTTCAGTTATGCACTCAATACTTGGTCGGGAATCCTTTTGCAGAAATGACTGCTTCAATGTGGCGTGGCATGGAGGCAATCAGCCTGTGGCACTGCTGAGGTGTTATGGAGGCCCAGTATGCTTCAACAGTGGCTCTAAGCTCATCCAGAATTTTGGGTCTTGTGTCTTAAGCTCATCCAGAGTGTTGGGTCTTGTGTCTT